GGTGTTGTAATAATGTAAAATATGTGAAAAATAATGTGTTTTTCGAACAACCTAGTATGAGAGCCTGTTCTAGTACAACCCCAAAGACTTTGTAAAAGAGCATAATAGGACCCCTTTAAGAAGAATCGCTTTATGTATTCCGCAATTGTAAGTCACTTTGAATAAAAGCGTCTGCAAAATTACTTAATGTATATGTATATATATATATTAGACTTGTGCCAGTATTCGGTAATGCGATATATCACGGTAATGAATGTGCACGATATTGTTATCTTGGGCACTTCTAAATACCGTGAATAATTATATATTACAAATTATTCAGAATTTTGAATGCATTTTAAGATATCCCTAATATATATATACACACACACACACACATATATACATATATATATATACACACACACACACAATTTCATAGTACTTTTGCTCTCTCTAAAAGTAACTCTTACTTGAATAAATACTTTAGAACTGAAAAAATAATTTCTGAATATATCCCAGGTTTTCCAGGAGCCAGTGAACCCTTTTTTTACTCATTAAGGTAGTAAAGAAGAGAGCCCTTTCTCACCTCTGCAGGGAGCGATGACTTCCTCTTTCTTGTCCATGTGGTCTTTGTGGCACTTGATGTGGCATCGTCTGCATTCGAGAGCTGGAGGTGGTTTGAACATGTTCCACAGGGGTTTGGTACAGGCTTCACAGTTAGTGGGGAAGTGGTACAGGGTATGAATGAACTCATGACCCTTATGGCAAATGTAGCTGGACTTGTCTCCAGGAAGAGGTTCCAGTTCTTGCTCTTTCTTGCTCTCACCCTCATTAGCGTACAAGATCTGGGGGAAGCAATGATAAGCTATGAGTCCTTAGCTTACAGCCATTATTCTTAGGATTCAAATATGATTTTATAAAACTTCCCAGGTATTAGGTTCCCTGATACCCTGCCTGTGTTATCTGTGGTACCGATATACCTGGAATATTCTGGGGATCTCTTTGGCGTCAGCGCGATAGACGTCCGTCTGGGTTACTGAACGCACATGGAAAAGTTTACTGTCAAGGGAATACCAGAGAAATTAAGATAATGACAAGACGACAGAAATGACTTAAGTCAGTCAAAAAGATAAAGGGAAATTTTTTTTACACTGGGACAAAATGAATTTGTGTAACCAAATGGATTTAAAGAGTAAAAGGACTCACTCTATGTCCAAAACCATGTAAGGATTGGACTGCTCTTTGTCCTGCTCACTGTTGTAGAAAAGAATCTTTTTGCTGCTCACCACAACATACTAGAGGAGAGAAAAGAAACAAAAGACTCACTGAATCCTGCATGATAGGGTTGGATGGGATTTCTAATGCAAGGGTATCAGTGTCTAGCACTACAGCTCTAGTGCTTTAGCTCCTGTTTGCAAAGTCACTTGAGATTTAGGTTTAGCCCAGGTAATTAGTATTTGTCATGTGGTTGCAGACAACATGAGTTAATAATTCAAATAGGACAGGTTTATTAAATAGTTAAGTAGTTTATTCACTCACTATAACAACACAGTGTCATTTTTGTATTATTGATATACTTTATTATTTTTTCATATTTTGAAATCTTTTATTCTTATATTTCATTTTAATTATAGTTTAAGTTGTAGTAATTATGTTATGTGCTTGCAACCTTTGTTTTTTGTATTTATATTTAGCTTTCATTTATTTTTTATTTCAGTTTTTATTTCAGTAATTTTAATACTTCAGTTGAAATTCTATTTCGGTTACTTGCCAAGGCAACATGTCTAATTTCTAATTTCATTGAATATTCATATTTTATTTCAGCTTTATTTAAATTACCAAAAATGATTTTTAATAGTTTTGGTTCAAGATAAAACTGGACACATTAATTTAGCTTAAATAATCACTAATTTGAATTCCCATGCACATCCACCATGATGTCATATATTATATATGATGCCATAAATTAATAAAAAAATCAATCTAAATTAAATGATAACACAATAAAGATATTAGCAACAAGTTACGTTTACTTCATTTGTATCTTTGTTCTACAATTATTAATTGCAACTTGTTTTTTTTTTTTGTTCTTTATTGTCTTACTGACCTTTTTTTTTTTTTAATGATGCACTGATTACTTAAGTGACAGGTCAATTTAAATGTCATGTTGATGTTAATACTATTGCACTTTTTAACAGTATAGCATCATAGCATCCTTAGCTAACTACTTGTTTTAAACATGCAAAACATACCTTCCTTTCCCACCCGAAGCGTTTGTTGTTGTTCCTCACTGGTAAAGACAGCCAACCCTCCAGTCTTGTCTCTGTACAACACACAGAGAAAGACATGTATAATACAACAGAGCAGTTTTATAAAACTACATCAGAGAAAAGCCTGTCAAGGGAAAGCATAAGGTCTACGCAAGTCTTAAGAGGTCAAAAGGTCATGCACTGAACGCCATGCAGATCACCTGTAGGGTCAGGCTCTGCAGTGAGGTGAAGGGTGAAAGATCAAAAGTTGAACTGAGAACCAGACCAAAACTAAGCGGAGAGAAAGGAGGGTGACATGGAATGATGTAAAGAAAACACAAGGTAAGTGAATTAAAAAGAAAAGTTGTGAAAAAGGAAAACAGAATGAAAAGAAGTTTGGAAAAGGACTTCACCGTACCTGGTAGTGACTCGTCAGTGTCCATGTCTGGGCCACTGCTCATACTGGCAGAGTCGAGCGACTGGACGTTAAGAGAGTTCAACAGGCTGCGCAGCTGCTCAATGTCACTGTCTTTACTGTCCAGAGCCATCTGTAGCTCGATACGCACCTGAGACTCGTCTGCCAGTTGCTGCAGCAAAAATAAACAAGGGTAAGAAACAAGCATTCTGGCTATATGTCAAGCAGTGTGGCATTCTTCAGACTGATTAGTGGTCATACCGCTTGCATGTCGTTGATTTCTCTCTGGTATTTGATGATAGTGCTGTTGAGCTTCTCCTTCTCGGAACGCAGCTCCAGCTGCAACTTCCTGTTTTCTTTCTCCTTCCTCCTCACGTCTGTATCATTTCCACGGCGACTTCCACCACCTCTGACCTCCTTTCTATTCATGATCTCTGCCAGCTTGTTCACCGCCTAGAGTAAAATAATATAATATAATATAATATAATATAATATAATGGTTGACGTATTTAGCCACTATCAGTGTAAGATCTGGGTAACTTACAGTCCTGTGTTTCCTTTAGCTTGTTGTTGAGTTCTTCCTTCTCATTGGCCAGGTTTGCCACATCATTCGTCAATGTGCGATTAGCTTCCTCTAACTGTGGAAGGATGGGACAATTAAACCCAACACCATCCAATGTCCTCAAGACTGCTGCAAATCTAAATGTGATTTCTGTAACAGCGGCTAATAGCTGAAGTGTGGTGTAACTCACTGAGGTGATGGTGGTGTCTTTTTCAGCGAGCTCCTGTCTGTGTCTGGCCATCATCTCTTTGATCTCCAGCTCCTTCATGATCTTCTCCTTCTCCAGGTCGGAATACTGCTCCTCCGCAATGGACCACGGCGACTTCCACCACCTCTGACCTCCTTTCTGTTCATGATCTCTGCCAGCTTGTTCACTGCCTAGAGTAAAAAGCCAATAAAATTAAGAAAAAGTAGTAACTGAGGCAGTAAATACAAATCAACAAGCTCAATTTGATTCACATCTGCTACAAGGACAACATTATGGTGCACCTGTGTTTTGAGAGTTCTCTCTGACTGAAGCTGTTTCTCAAGGGCAAGTTTCACTTGAGTGATGGACTGCTCTTCATTCTTGAGATTCTGCAGGTCTGAAAATTAAAAATGTTCTCAGTCATCACAGAGACACAAAAAGCCATATTCAGCCCCTGTGAAACCTATTATTCAGCTGGAAACCTGTGTAAACAAATCTAAAAATCTAAAATATTTAAGTAAAATCTAATTTTTAAAAATTATGTAAAAAGTATA